TTTGGTTGCTAAGCAAGAGCCTTGTTAAGTGAGTTTCACCACATTTTACAAAATGGCCACTCCCACCAGGTCACATGGCTGGAAAGCCACTCCCATCCAGTCACATGGCCAGCAAGCCACTCCCACAAAGCAGACCACACCTACAGAAGAGGTTCTAAAAAAAATTGAAACCCACCACTGGTCTAGAGCCATTACTATTAAGAGGTTTCCATGAAAACGGAATCACTCGTTTGCTTTGGGTCTACAGGCAAAGTGGATAAAGGGATCTTAGAAGCATAAATATGCTTTTGATTCAGATGGGAGAGTGTGAGGCCCTGTCCTACCAAATATCAGAATCTAAAGCTGTCTATTCATTGGCTAGAAGAATAACATCTTTTAGCCAAAGTTTCCAGTAAGTTATGCCTGGCACTGATTTTAATAAAAAGATTCACTGGCCGGTAGGTTCAGTCATCTAGGAGAAGTGTCTTTGGTGTTTATATTGATTCAGATTGTATAAATTCAGCCAGGTCCACATGCAAACTGGAAGAAATCCCAGAGTTCAGTTCCAAGCTTGTATGCCCATCTTGTTTGTGTAATGGCTTCCAAAAACTGAACTTTTTCTCCACATTTCTGAAAAGAATAACTGAGTGGATTTCTCTTTTCTTTAATGTAACTTTTATTAAGAGTTTTTACATGTATAAAAGACAAATAAAAAGGTGTATGTGAGAGAGTGAGAGAAAGAGGGAGGGAGGGGAGAATATCTATGGTGGGGTTCAAAAATTAAGCATGTCAGAAGCCACCACACAATGACCATCCTCTTCCTTTTTTCAGTGCAAGACCATAAAAAGTTTGAGCTTCAATCATACAGTTGCAACCCATAGCAATAGCACTTTGGCTTATATACTGCTTCATTGTGCTTTTACAACCCTCTGTAAGTGGTTTACAGAGTCAGCATATTGCCTCCAACAACCTCGGTCCTCATTTTACCCACCTCGGAAGGATGGAAGGCTGAGTCAACCTTGAGGCAGCTACAAGCCATCAGCTGAAGTAGCCTGTAGCCTCTAACCACCACCTTGGCTCATACAACCCATCTTGCTTGTATAATGGCTTCAAGGGGGAAGAAGAGATGAACTTACTGGCTTATATTATTGTGCCAGGTGCCTCATTGCCTTGACCAGGATCTCTCGAGGTGCCACAAATGCCCTTCTCACCCATTGTCAGTTAGGTTTGTCTTTTTATGAAATTGAAAATGACAGTTAAACTTTTTTCATGGTTTGTGTCCCACTGATTCTGCAACCCTCCATCACATCTGTGCCCTTCCTTTTTCTTCCTCATTGGTTTTTTAGCCCTCAACTGTCTCTGCTTGTCAATCCATAATAACCACAGATTGAGGAAATCTTATTGCTACATACTCTGGTTACCATCCCTCCAAAGGAGTCATTTTCTCAAGCTGTGACTATAAAATCTAGTAGCCATCCTGGAAAAATCAGACATCATCTTTCAAGGAGCCACAGCAATGAAGGCTCATCCTCCTCTTCCTCCTCATTGTGGCCAGTGAAGCCAATCGATATTCCAGATGTGAACTGGCTTTACATCTGAAGCAAGGTGACCTCAATGGACATTATGGCTACAGAGTTGCCTACTGTGAGTTTACTCAATCTTTTTCTCCACCTTCGCTAGCTCATGGTTTGCAAGACGGATGCAAAATGAGGAACTTTCTTCCCTGAAAGAGTTCATCCAGCCCACCCAATGAATAAAAAGCTCTGTTCAATTTTCTTAGAATGGTAGGATTCAGCCAATCTGCATCACTTTGAGAGAACCAGTTGTTAACTTTCTAAGCAGTTTGGTGAACTGGTTACTGGAAGAAATCATTAGGGCAGAGAACCCCTTGTTAAATTATTTGAATCCCACCACTGAATAAAATCCCTCTTCCTTTTTCACATACGTCACATGCAAAACACATAAAAAATGATGGGGCTTTAATCATGCAGTTGTAACCATCACTTGTTCCTTTTTGGCACCTCATTCCCTTTGACCCAGGATCTCTCAGGGAGCTAAAAATGTTTTTCTCATCTTTTTAAAATTGGTTTGGCTTGTTACGAAATTAAAAATGACAGTGAAAAATAGTTTTTTCTTCCTCTTTCTCCTCAACGCCCTTTTCTGATCAGTTATTGCTTCAAGTTTGGGAATTACTATTGCTACATACTTTGTTATTAATCTCTCCTGAGTTTCCACTTT